GAAAAACACACGTGTTTATCCTCCTTCAAGGCTCCGGCAACCTCTTGCTTTTCTTTTTCCTTTTGAAATGCTCGAACCTTTCACTAAGTTCTTTCAACTGTGCATTTTTTTCTTCAAGATCACTTTGCAGTCGTTGTCAAATATTTGAATGAATCGAAAAGTCTAAAAACACAGTTGTATATTTGCCTCTGTTGATTGACAAGCCGTTACTCAAATTGACTGATGCTTGGGGCAGACATTGACTAAGGCTGTAAAAATATGTGTGCAAACCCTCAGAAACCCTCACATTGACCAGCTCCCAGTTGGCTTGTTAGCTCAGTTGGTAAGAGCGCTGCACCGGTATCGTAGAGGTCATGGGTTCAAATCCCGTACGGGCCTGAATTTTTTTCAGGTCCTATTTTCAACTACTCGTTTCAGTGGTGTTCTTAGGTGCGAGGATCTCTTAATTTTGTTTCTTCACCGCAGTGCAAATATATGAATTTCATATATCGAAAATCATCATTCCCTCAGAGTAATTGGTTAAATACCATCGCAGTGAGAACTTCATACATGTTACTTATTTTGAAGCGATTTCCTCAATGAAAAAGTGAAAACCAAGAAAAACCGGGGGGGGGGGTGGTCTACCTCCCCCCGGTAAAAAACAAAACAGAAACCATTTTGCCTATTTGAGTTTTGGGGTAGACCCTTTAAACTGGCAAAGTTTCATTCGTGAGATCGCATGCAGCACTACTGCCCAGTGCTCTCGTGGACACGCTCTTATACTACTGCCGGTTATATTTCTGATAAAGTGGATTTAGGGATACGGGCAACATAAGATCCGGGAAAGAAACTTATTTCTTGAAAGTTGGTATTCCATAAGGGAATATGTCGAAAATAGAACACGAAACGTCCTAAATGTACTTGAGTTATTAAGAACAAAAATTATTTTCGTTAAAAAAAAGTTATATCAAGGCGTAAAGTTTTCTGTTAAACATGGACTCCCTTGCAACATTTTCGCGTCCAACAGCTTTATACCTCAATTCAACTTTGTCTGCATTCGCGTTTGAGTTCCGTATTTTTCGGAACATTCAATCTTGTCGATTTCTTATCGTGAAACGTGGAAAATGGAAACAAAGTCCTTGGTTGCAATCCAAAGCAAATCCAGCAACGAAAGGGCACAAAACGTTTCTGAAAATATGGATTACATAGTCTTGAGCGGGACAAAGAGTCGTGATTGCCCAACCTTTAATGATTTGCGAAGTCTTAATCATATCCGACTACCGAAACGTACCCGTAGTATATACGAAAACTGGGAGATAATATCGCACAAAAAAAAAATTACTTTAACTCTTTTCACCTTGCAACGATTACAAGCGCTCCAGGAGGTGAAAAGCGACGCAATAAACCGAACTTTTTTAAATCGTATATAAACCACTTGGGATGTTGAGAGAACAAGAAAAGAAGTTTGTAAACAATGACGTTCATTGAAGAAAAAAAATCATAAAAGATTCCAACTCTGCGCATGTTAAAAAACCTCAATTTCTCGTATTGAAACCTACACTGGGCCGCGTGTAAACCAGTCGTAACACAAGAAAAATTTCAAGAAAATTTTCCTTATAATCCTCTGTCAAGGTCTGTCTATTCCAGACATTCTGTAATATTAGTTCAATATTTTTCCCTTTCAATCCTCTTCTGGTATCTTTACCTACCCTACCCCCCACCATACAACAAATCAGTGTTGTCTGGCTTATTATGTGGTCTATCCATTACATGTCAGTTTGTATCGTAGAGTCTTAGGTAATACAACAATGGGTGATTGGAGGAGAGTGAGGGATCGCGGAGTAGAGAGGAATTTTAAAATGTTCAGCTGTTTTCAGTGCTTTAAATAAAAACAACCCCTCAAAGTAATTTTGTTTTTGTTCTAGAAAATAGCGCGTTGTCTTTTCGTAGACTCATTAGGCATTTATTGTACATCTCAGTAAAAAATAAAGCCTTTATACGGGCCCAAGTGGCCCATGGGGCCGGTGCTTAACTCCGGTTTTCTTAGCATGAAGCGGCTAGGAGTATTGCTACTCCCCCTGGATGGGCTGCTAGTCCATCGCAGGGTTACCCCCAGCACATTAACTGGTACCCATTTGTACACCTGGGTGAAGAGAAGCACTGTGAGAGTAAAGTATCTTGCCTAAGAACACAACACAATGACAACAGCCAGGGCTCGAGCCTGGACCACCCGATCTGGAGTCGAGCGCACTAACCATTGTGCATTCTGACCTTCTTTAATTCGTACAATGTAGTTAACAGTGCCCTTTTATGATTTCTTGTTAGGATGTTGGACAACAACCAGTTGAAGGAACTACCATCAGACATTTTTAGTAAAAACACCCAGCTGACGAACCTGTAAGTTTATACCTTGCTTTATTTATGCAAAAGGTGGCTTAAATCCAAATCTATGAACAGAGAAGTAATATTTCATCTCCAAATGATTGAAGAGTCGTTCTTCGCGAACATTAATGTTATTTCTAATGATGATGCACAGTACAATTGGATCCACGGCTCCCTTGTTTTGACCTCTGCTCAACACCATGCTACCATGTCTACCTAAAAGTTAATTTTTTCGCCATGAAATGACCAGCCCTTCCAAAATTTGGGATTTTGGATTTGAGCAAAGAAAAAGAATGAGTAAAACTACTCAAAAACTAAAATTAACCATATAAATGCGTACGATATTTTATTACACACATTAATCTTCCCGGAAAATGCGTGTTTTCAGCCGCTAACTCCGGTGAATACGTTGTTGCACACTCGGAAAATGATAATGAACTAAAGGAAAACGAGCTGTTTGCCGTGCGTTAACCGAGCAGTTATCGCCTGAAAATTATATTTCTTACCTGCACTTACCGCGAAGGAAAACTGCCAAATAATGGGAAGAATACTGGCAGGGATTCACCGATGTGAAAACGCTCAGAAAATACTGGAATTTCCGTATGCAAAACACAGGTAAACGTTAGTAAAATGCCGCGTTTTCCGTGAATTCAGTCCTCGTTTTCGCACGGCGAACGCTTGTTTTTTTGTTGTTGTGATAGTTTAGACAATTCAGGCGACACTATTTCCAGTATACACTCTCCAGTATAATGATGGTGTGTACAATGAGAAATACTAAATACCATTAAAAGTTAAAATTTAATATGGTGTTAATGCCGCTCTACCACACAGGATGTGTTTATGCACAGTATCCTTGGACCCACCTCTCCCTTGTTTTGACCTCTTCTCACCACTATGTGCCACTCCTCGCCTCCCTAAATGTTAATTTTTCTCCATAAAATGACCAGCCCTTGCAACAGACTTTTTAAGCTGTGTGGCCACGCAGTTTGAAATGGGTAAACAAGGATTCGAAATGGCTGCTCAAGTATATGCGGCAGACGACTGTTTATTGACGAAATTCCTTCTTGACTTGTCGAAATTTTGATTTTCTACAAACTGCGGTAATATAGAAATCGGCGACAATTGAGGTGATGAAGATTGAACATTAAAAGCCAGAGATTGAGATTGGTAAAAACAAACTTACGAGCGCATGATCTTCAAAGATCAAAAAAAGAAAACATGAAACGGGCACATTAGGGAAGTAAGTATATTGCAAAAAGAAGATTTCGGTGATTTTGTAATTTAACCTTAGAATGAAGCTATATTTGGTCAATAACAGTAGAGTTGTTCTTGTTTGACGTTAATATTAGACCGCTTTGGTCACCTGATCAGCAGCCGGTCAAGGTTCTCAAACTACTGAATGACCGGCAGTCGGAAATTTTTCTGAAAACTTAACAAATTAGAGAGTTTATACAATCTAAAACACTTTATGTCGACGAGGAACTGCTAAGTGATCCCGAAGTGATTTACAAATCTCGTGTCTAGCGCTCGCTCGAGTTTACCGCAGGTCTTAGACTGCGGAGCCGTGAGATGTACATGTTGACACGAAGAAATTGCAAGAGATCGACTGCCGGTCACGGATATTAAATAACTAAATGACCTGCTGTCGGAAATCTACCGTGGAAATTAAGGAATCGAGACAAACGATATAATCTAAAATATTATATGTTGATGAGGATCTCGAGGTGATTTATAAAATTCATACCTAGCGTTCGAATTGCGCGGACTCGGAAAACATGTATTTGGAAACTCCGTGATACCACGTGGATGTCTTATATGCGCTCAAATTTCGTAAAGGAAAGGGGAAAAAAAAAAATCTTATTTGATTAGTAGGGAATACCACTTTTTCGAGATTAAATCTGTCCTCATTACAAATTGTTGATAGCTAACAACTATTCAGCGAAGAGGAGGTAGTTTGTTAGATATAGAGGTAGATATTTAACAAGCCGTAAAATGGCCATTTGAATATCCACCACTAGGCACTGATGCTAATGTGGGTAGTTGTTTTGGTGTATCCTAAAACAGTGAGATAGTATAGTACAAAAAAGATAATCATAGCTCATCTATTCCTGTAACGATTATAACGCTAAGATCGCCAGTGGGACGATACGAGCATCCTTAACCCTGTAAAGTGACCTTGCTTCATTTTATGCAAAATGACTTACCATGCGTGAATTAGACTAATCAAATAGATCCTAGACACACTTAACTACAGTCTCCCTGAAAATAATTGGACAAATGAAACAATATTAGGCTAAAGGAAAATGTTCAGAATATGGAAAATCGAAAAGAAAGTACCAGCTCTTTGATTCTTAAGGTTTACTTGAATGCATTTATTGTGGATCCTGACCTTCTCTAATTCGTAGAATGTAATTAACACCGCTTTTTATTATTTCTTGTTAGGATTTTAGACAACAACCAGTTGGGGGAATTACCATCAGACATCTTTAGTAATAACGCTGAGCTGGTGAACCTGTAAGTTTATACCCTGCTTTATCAGTATGCTAAAGGTGTCTTAAATCCAAATCTACTGAACAGAGAAGTAATGTTTTATCTCCAAATGATCGAATTTACCTTCTTTTCTTGAACACTCATGTTATTTCTTATGTTGATGCACAGTACCCTTAGACCCACCTCACCCTTGTTTTGACCTCTGCTAAACAGAATGTGCCATAAAACGACCAGCCCTGTCAAAATTTGGGTTTGAACGAAAAAAAAGAATAGGAAACAGAGATAAGAAAAAAAAAAGATCAGGTGTTTTATTAAAAGATTCGACAATTCAGGAGACACTATTTCCAGTTTACACCCTCCAGTGTAATCGTGGTGTGTACAACAGCACATACTGAGTAAAATACCATAAAAAGTTAAAATTTAATTCAATTTAATGTAAAGTTGTTTTTGTTTCGCGTTAATATTGGTATGCTTTGGTTATCTGATCGGTAGACCGGCAGTCGGAAATTTTTTCTGAAAAGTTAACAAATTGAGAGAGCCCACACAATTCAAAATATTTTATGTCGATGATGAACTGCTTTATTTTTGTCTTTTTGTTTTTGGCCGTTTGTTTGTTTTTATATGAAATACTTTTCTATTGGCGGCTTCGGAGCGCAAGTTTCTTAATACTTGAACTTGACAGCTCTTCTTAAAGAAATTTAATTAGATTATGGGGAAATGCTGACAACCCTTCGAAGATTTGTTCTTTGTGATTGAAACTGTGCAGTTACTTTTTTATCAGAAGTCATATTTGATACCCTATCCAATCGACGGAGAAGTATCCCGTCATTAGTTTCTTTCTTACCGTTTTCCTGGCTTCCTTCGGGTCAGGGGAGGAACATCAAGATTGCTTAAAGTTCAATCAAATTATAAGTTTATTAACCTCTTTCTTGCCATACAGTGTATAGTGCTTTGTTTAGAGACGGCACGCGCAGGTTTTTTTTCTTGAAATCACATGCGAAGGATTGGTATAAAGTTAAACAAATATTTTTTTCGTATGTGATCTACACGAAGGGTTTTGAATTTGGGGACAATTAATCAGAGAACATCACAAGATACTATTCATTTCTTAGGTCAGGTGCATTGTCTAGACCGTACCCGAGAACAACATTAATGTATTACGAAGCGAGACTTCTCTGCAAAGTAGATCGTTTATGAGAAATTGTCAGAAGCTGGAACGAGCTACTCTGTGTGGATAGAAAACCCAGTAACCTGGAAGAGACAAAAATAAAAAGCAATTTTTTTCCATAGCTGTGGATTCAAGACATTTCGTAGGATCGTGGGTGAAAAGGTCGAGCGAAAGCGGGGCTGTAGTCCAATATCTATCAACAACATTTGTGAAGAAAAATCAAGCTCAAAGCAACGACATCAATCACGCAAATACATAAAGTGTGATGAAATAGAGTTTGAATCTTCTAATTTCTACAAGAAAGAAGGTGTCTGTTGTAAAAGAGAATTGTTAAAAATTGAATAGACATGTCGGAGACTCTCATAAATGGAATATAATCGGTAAAATAAGAAATAATGTTTCAAATTAGCCTTTACTCTCACCCTCCACTCCCTCCCTCCATCATTTTTGTAAACAGGGTTACCAGAGCTGTCACTTTTTTTTTTTTTGCCATTTTCGCTTGTGCACAAGGATGCCAATGATGTTTTTCCTGTTTTTATTGCTATTTTGAGTTATTTTCCTTTTTGCATGTTTTTTTTCTTTTACGCAGTATGAGAGAAAACTGTGCTAAGATAAAAATCGTTTTGATAGATGTCATGTATATTTGAATCAAAAAGTTTGTAGTAGGGTTGATTCTGTTATTGTTGTTCTTTTAGTAAGTTTTAATACTTGGAAACATTAGGTCTTTCATCATCTTGAAGCTCTAATTAAATCGGTACTTTGATATGTTTTCTTGTAAAAGGACTCTTGACGAAAACAAGCTAAAGAATTTGTCTTCAGGCATTTTTAGAAACAACGTTCGTCTGTCATTTCTGTAAGTAGAGGATGTTATTGTATTTATTAACAGCATAATAAGGGATAAGAGTAAGATAACCAACCGACCAACCAAGAATTTCGTAACACGTAGCTCTGATATGAGTTTGTTCCTGTTGGCTCGGGTAAAATTTTGCACCTATACAGAATTTGTTTGAACTCTGAAAACACAGCATTTACCGTACTGAAAATTTCATGAACTTGTAGATGACATTTTCACCATTGTTTGAACGGACTGACTTGCATTGTAACTTGAATTTCTGCGCAAATTGAGACTGCGCGTTTGACGTGTCAAAGAATGCGCTGTTCACCATCAGACCGCAAGAAGCGAACAATGGTACTACTTATAAGGGAATGACATACTCACAATGGATAAATAACCCACATGACAATCCCAAAGTTATAAATTTAAAAGGGCACGGTAAACAAGGAAGACAGGAAACATAGAGAGGTGTAAAAATCCTACTGACTGTGCCTAGACTATCCGGTCATTTAAAGAACACAGTCACGGATTGGAACTGGGGGAAAAAAATCCCATGAGTACCTTGGACCTGGGCTCCAGCCCAGACCACCGGGTCCGGTACCTTCACCGCTTGCTAACACGCTAGTCTCTATCAGACATGTGTAGAGTGCGTGACATGTTTTGTTGAGTTCATGAACCACAAAGGGTGTCGGGTAAAAAAAAAAGAGAAAAGCACGTGCTCGGAGTTTTCGAATAAATACAACCTTGTGTTTAATTAATCTGGTGATTTGAGTGTGTAACATTGGCGACCCTGCCAGGACTCGACCGAAGAGGCTTATCATCGACGAAGAACTGCCTTGGGTTGTGAAGGACAAAGTAATTGGCACGCTTGGTTGATTCGTCGAGCGCGAGTTGGTTGTGGTCGATTGCTGTCGACGGCGGACTGATCTTGACGTAAAGTGTCGCATTTCTTTTGTGAACGGCTGATTGCACTATTGGTGAGTACGAAAGATTATTTTTGGAAGTATGATGGATACCGAGAGTCTGCAGATCGAAATTCAGGCCGCGTTGTGTTCCTTGAGCGAGGAAAGGCTTAAAGAAGTTTGTAGTGGGCTGAACATTACTGTACCGCCTGAGAGCAAGGGAAGGTTGGTTTTTATCCGAGCTCTAAATAAATACCTCGAAACGGAAGAATTAGATAATGAGAAGCTCAAAGTGTTGTCGTCGTCTCTAAGTATGCAGGGAAAACTTGTACCGGAACAGAAAACGGAACCGCCGAAAGCTTCTGAAAATAGTAAAGCGACCGTCAAAATAGAGCAAAATCCCGTGGTGTCAATTTCAAAATTCAAACGCGACTTCAAGATTTCGGGCCAGATTGGCGACGCGTCGCAGAAGGATCGTTTGAGTTTTTCCTCGCTAGTGCATCAAATTGAGAATGGTTTAAAGAACGACTATACAGAGGATGAAATTAAAGAGGCTGTGATAAAAGCGATAAATCCGGCGTTAAGCCTAAGAAGTTATTTGGAGGGTAAGGTAGATTTAACACTGGCCAAATTGAGGAGAATTATGCGTTCTCATTATCAGGAGAGAACAGCAACCGAACTATATCATCAGTTGAGCTCAACTGTCCAACAGCCAAAGGAAAAACCTCAAGAATTCTTGATCCGCCTTCTCGATTTGAAACAGAAGATCTTGTTTGCATCTCAAGAAACTGACTCGGACCTGAAATATGATCCTACCTTAGTACATGGCATGTTTGTCCATAGCTTTTCCCTTGGCCTGCAAAGTGAGAATATCAAGATCGAAATGAAGCCTTACTTGGAAAAGAAATTTATAAGCGATGAAGAACTATTCGAGAAATTAAATGTGTGTTTCAGTGACGAACTGGAGCGATCACAGAAATTCGGTTCACAGCTAACCCCCAAGGTAAATGCTGTTCAAAAGGGAGGGGACAAGCAGGAGACAAAGAATAATGGGGTGGAGGAAGGTCTCATGAAAGAACTAAGGGAGCTCAAGGCAGAAGTGGCCGCAGTCAAAGAGAGAGTTCGGGCCCCACTCCGGGCTCAAACCCCCCTCACACAACAGCCTATGAGACAACCCCCACTGTGTAGGACCTGCCAACAAAGTGGGAATGGATGGCCGTGCAACCATTGCTTCAGGTGTGGGGCGAGTGGCCATTATGTACGCGAGTGTAATGCCCAATTCAGCCGACGCTCTCCGGCAGAATCTCAGGGAAACGGCCAGAGGTCACGCCCATGGGACAGGGTGTGACCAGGCAAGAAAATCAGTCCCGTTACGTGCAGTGTGGAAAACAAAGCACAGACCATGTACCACTTAACCGCTGCGGAGCCTGTAAGATCAATAGATATTATTCAAAAGAATGTCAAGTAAAATACAGAACTGTGCATAAACCAGTTTGCATGGCTATACAGGAACTTGAGAAACAGAAAGCAGCCGGAGATGATGGCGATGATTTGAACACGACGTTTCCCTGCCACCTGACGCCAAGGCAGCAGCTCGGACTGACAAAAATCGTGGGACGGAGGTGCGTGGTAAAATGCCTAATTCAAGGAAAGGAAGTGGAGGCATTATGGGATACAGGTTCCCAGGTTTGTGTTGTGTCAAGGAAGTGGCAACAAACTCACTTACCGCTGGAGGTGTTAAGAAATGTTGAAGAGTTGTTGGGAGCAGGAGAAGAGTTGAATTTGGAAGCGATGAATGGGACAAACATTCCATTTGACGGTTGGATTGAGGTCGGGTTTAAGTTGGCTGGAGATGATACAACTGCTCATGAGCTGACAGTTCCAGTACTGGTGGGACAAAAGGAACAAGAGTACCCAATCATTGGCTTCAATGTTATAGAAGAAGTCCTCGCTCAACATGGTGGAAACCACCAAGCGGCAAGTAACATCATTCAGTCATTCCCTTCAATTCATCATACTCGCGTAGGTACCCTGATCAATCTGATCCAGTCAAGAACACAGGATACCGGTACTGCAGCTGTTAAAGTCGGAAAAGAGATGTTATGCTGCCAAAAGGAGAGGCAACGACAGTTAAGTGTCAAACTCACCTCGGACCAGTTCCAGAGGGGATGCCAGTAATATTTGAGCCCAAGGAAGACAGCGAGCTCCCAGACGGACTGGAATTGGGCGAGGAACTTACTAAAATAACCCCGGGAACCTCTAGTCACGTGGCCGTCGTGGTCCAAAACAATACAGACAGAAACATCTTGTTAAAGCGCAGAACAGAATTGGGCCGGATACACCTGGTAAAGTCAGTTCTACCAATTCCAAATACTCCCGACTCGTACTCTCGAGGAGACGAGGATTTTACCCTGAAGCTACCTTGCATCCTGGTCAGGAACAAGATGGATGGGAGCCACCAGTTGACTTGAGTCAGCTAGAAGACAATGAACAATTGATCGTCCACGAAATGCTACGGCAAGAAGCTGGTGCCTTTGCAAGAAACGACGATGAGGTTGGCTGCGTGGAGAACTTGGTGCTTGATCTCCAGTTAAAGGACAATGAGCCAGTACAGAAGAACTATATCTCCATCCCCAAGCCACTCTATGGGGAAGTGAAAGAGTACTTAGAAGACTTGATTAATCGAAATTGGATCTGCAAGTCCTGTTCGGCTTACTCCTCACCCATGGTCTGTGTTCGCAAAAGGATGGAAGTCTGCGACTTTGTATTGATTATCGAGAATTGAACAAGAAAACATATCCAGAACGACAGCCGATTCCCCGTATACAGGATATCTTAAATGGCCTAGGCGGCAACAAATGGTTTACAGTTCTGGACCAAGGGAAGGCCTACCACCAAGGCTTTATGACAGAAGAAAGCCGCCCCTGACTGCATTCGTGACCCCTGGGGATTGTATCAATGGAATAGAATACCGTTTGGGCTAATGAATGCACCGGCGGCATTCCAAAGGTGCATGAATGAATGTCTAGATGGCTTACGGGACAACATCTGTATTCCCTACCTGGATGATGTCTTGGTGTATAGTAAGACCTTTGAGCAACACGTTCAGGATGTCCAACAAGTCCTGCGTCGACTGCAGGAACATGGGATAAAGTTAAAGCCATCAAAGTGCAAGTTCTTCCAACGACAAGTTAGATATTTGGGGCGGGTTGTTTCCGGCGATGGCTACTCTCTAGACCCAGAGGACACGGCTGCCGTACACAACTTGGCGAAACAGAAACCAGCAACAGTGGGTGATGTGCGTAAACTGCTAGGGTTCCTGAGTTACTACAGGCAATACATCCAGGATTTTCACGCATAGCTAAGCCCCTGTACGATCTAATGGCTGGCCCTGATCTATTGGCTAATAATCATAAGGTAACATGGACAGAGGAACATCAGAAGCGGCTTGACATGCTGGTCGACCGACTGACTTCTCCCCCAGTGATGGCATTTCCCGACTTTACGAAGCCATTTGTACTTCACACAGACGCCTCGCAAGAGGGACTTGGAGCTGTATTGTATCAAGAACAGGACGGGAAGCTCAGAGTTCTAGGTTATGCCTCTAGGACACTAACTCCAGCAGAGAAAAATTACCACATGCACGCGGGAAAATTGGAGTTCCTTGCCCTCAAATGGGCAGTAACTGAGAAGTTCCGTGATTACTTGTACTACTCCACCTTCTTCACTGTTTACACCGACAACAATCCACTAACTTACATTCTGTCGTCAGCTAAGTTGTCTGCAGTAGGGCACCGGTGGGTGGCAGAACTGGCAGATTTTAATTTTAACATCAAGTATCGGCCTGGCAAATCTAACATTGACGCGGATGTACTATCCCGCCTACCGCTAGATTTCAGTGCATACATGGAAACCTGTATTGCAGAAATGGAAAAGGACGCAATTTGTGCAACAAGTCAAGCAGTGATCCATCAGGAAACAGACGCCACACCCTGGGTGGCAGCAGTTTCAGCAAGAGTTGGCATTGCTCACGCAGAACCGGGCGTCACAGATTTGGTTTTTCGCCAACTTACGTTAGAAGAAATATTAAGGGCTCAACGGGAAGACCCCGACATCTCACGAATCCTGGCCTACAAGAAACGGGGATATCCCCATCAGGAGGAGAGCGGAAAAATGAGACTCGTACAACATCTTGCTACTTGAGAGCATGGAATAAACTCCATATATCAGCGGACGGGATCCTGTGGCGCCAAACTAAGAGTCGATTGCAGCTAGTATTACCCACAAAGTTTAAACAGTTGGTTTACCAAGAACTTCACATTGAAATGGGTCATCTGGGTGCAGATCGAGTGGTGGACTTAGCGAGATCTAGGTTCTATTGGCCTTACATGCAAGAGGAAATCGAGTATTTCATCGCCAACAAGTGTCACTGCATCCAGCAAAAGAAGCCCCAAATCTCCCCTAGAGCACCAATGGAGAGCATTACGACGACTGCCCCTTTTGAGATGGTGTCTATAGACTTTCTTCATTTGGAGAAAAGCCAACGGGGATTTGAATACATTTTGCTGATAGTAGATCACTTCACAAGGTTTGCACAGGCCTACCCAACCCGAAACAAGACAGCACGAACGGTGGCTGAAAAGATTTACAATGACTTTGTACCACGATTCGGATTCCCAGCCCGTATACACAGTGATCAAGGAGGAGAATTTGAGAACAATCTCTTCCATCAACTACATAAGTTGTCTGGCGTTTCCAAGTCTCGCACCAGCCCCTACCACCCTCAAGGGAATGGGCAAGTGGAGAGGATGAACCGCACGCTATTGTCTATGCTGCGAACACTCCCAGATTTGAAGAAACGAAAGTGGGATGAATCACTCAACAAGATGATCCACGCGTACAATTGCACTAAGCATGAGGCGACAGGATACGCTCCGTATTACTTGTTGTTTGGAAGAACACCCCGCCTGCCCATCGACCTGATTTTCAATTTGAATCAAGAGAGTGCAGAGGGAGATTATAACACTTACGTCCAAAACTGGCAGCATGATATGAAGGAGGCATACCGGATAGCTCAACAGAATGCAAAGAAGACTGCCGAGCGCGGCAAGCAATATTACAACAAGAGAGTCTCAGGTGGCGTTCTTCAGCCAGGCGATCGGGTGCTAGTTAGAAACTTAACAGAGCGCGGTGGACCCGGAAAATTACGATCCCATTGGGAGTGCGCTATCCACGTTGTGGTTGAACGAATGGGGGCTCAAAGCCCAGTCTACAAAGTTAAGCCCGAGAGTGGAGGTGGCCGCGCAAGAGTGCTTCACCGGAATTTACTACTGCCTTGTGACGCTTTGGAAGCAGATGCCCCAAACCTGGGATTTGGTACGCGACCCCCAAAATCAGCAGTAGAGAAACGACCTTTGTCTGTTTCGGGAAATGACCTACAGAATTCGGGGAAAGATGATGATGATTTCGGTAGTGTGGACCTTGTAGAGGAAATACCTACTGAAGTAAGAACTTCAAACTCAGTGTCTCCAGGACGCGATTTGCCTTCAGAGTCAATTGAGGATTCTGCGACTACTGAGGGCACCAATGGGCCATCCAGCGAAATACAACTTGCAAATGAAGGAAGTGCTGACAATGACGGATCAGAGGGAGAGGACATTGCTGAGCAGGACATGTGGACTCGGCCGCAGCGCCAAAGGAGACCGCCGCAGATCTTAACTTACAACTCCTGGGAAATCCACAGTACCAGTCGGCTGAGCCAGTATTCAGCAGTTCACGCGTTAACGCCATTCAAACTCCAGCTATCACAGCTATTCATCCGGGAATACCCCTGTATTTCTGGGTGTGGCCATGCTGTTTCCAACCTGTCTACTACCCGAGGGCTTGAGAGGAGCCTCTTATAAGACCCAAACATTAAAAAAAAAACAAAAAAAACAAAAAAAAAAAAAAAAAAAAAAAAAGAAAATCAAAAGCACGCAAGGTGCTGGAGGATACAACGTCAAACAACAATTACAGTAGCTGCAGAGAACTCTGATAATTAGTTTTGTAATATTTAGAAGAACACTTTCATTTTCGGCGGGGAAGTGTGTAGAGTGCGTGACATGTTTTGTTGAGTTCATGAACCACAAAGGGTGTCGGGTAAAAAAAAAAGAGAAAAGCACGTGCTCGGAGTTTTCGAATAAATACAACCTTGTGTTTAATTAATCTGGTGATTTGAGTGTGTAACACATGCGCAGTCTAACCTTAATCACATTTATTTTTGGGTGTAATATCTTCCTCTTTGGTAGTTTCTAGTTTTGAAGTGCTAAAAATAACCTTAAAAGTTATTATCACTGTTATTATTATTATTATTATTATTATTATTATTATTACTACTATTATTGTTATTGTTATTATTATTATTATTTATTAATGCACTCTAACTGTTTTTGTTCTTGAATTGTAGTTACTTGTCCGGTAACCCATTAAAGGAATTGCAGTCAGATATTTTCAGTACAAATATCAAGTTGGAGTACCTGTAAGTATGTTTATTGTTTATTTGAATACGTTGTAAGAGTAGAAACAGAGCATTACAATGATAATTTGTCTTTATAGTCAATCACTCGCTGACACTTTTACTTTTAGAATCTAATAAGATAATTTAGCTGATAGCTTTATATTGGAAATGATAATATAGCTGTAGAGGCCTTTGTCAATAATGAACACAAAATGAAGAATTTTGCTGGGAGCAAATTTGTGTTAAATTCCGTAGATTAGACATTTTAGGAACCATAAGTATATTTTGAGAAAGGAAGGAAGGAACTAAAATGAAGCATTCGACAATTGCCAAAGGCAACTTTCCGACGGCATTTGCTTCAAAAAATAAATAAATAGTTAAATTAAAAAATTAAATTGAAAAAAAAATTGAAAGAAAAGTCCTTAGCAGATTGTGATCATTTTATTTTTTGTTAACAATTTAGGTTATCATAGCAACACAACGACCTCTTAAAGAACCTTATTTTCTGCTTTTTTCGCCTGTCAATCACAAACGGGTTTTGGTGGCCCCCATTCCTTTTACTACTGAATAGCAATTACTTGATCAGCAGGGATTTGCTAAAGCAAAGGCATAGAAAAAACCAGGAAAGATTTATTACTCGACGTTTCGGGGTCATCGTGACTCCATTATCAAGAGACTAGTTTAAAAACATGCAAATAAGGAAAGGTACAAGAATAGCATAAATTAGAATGAACGGCTTAAACAAACACCTTGGCGCGGATGGAATCCGTTTGCACGTTCAGTGTTGGCTTACGCATGCGAATATACAACATTTCATTAACAAGGCAATCAAATTTGCCGTTACATTTCGCGATGACGTTGAATTGCTCGATCAAGCGTTCAGGCATTTCACTATTGTGCTGGAGGTGGTAGTGTCTGTAGATAGAAGATGATTTCCTTGTGTGCCCTTCTACGCGCTCGTGTAAGTGACCACGAGTATAGCCCACATACCCTGCATCACACAGGTTACATTTAAATTCATAAACGATACATTGTTGGTTAACAATAGGGGGCTTAATTTCGTGTTGCTTAAGCTGTTGATCGAGCTTAGGGCTAACGAACACTGG